TTGAAGGTTAGTCGAATCGGCTCTCCCAGAGGTTTTAAGATAGCGAGACTAGGGCGTTTCCACTTAAACTGCACGAAGTGAGCTTTTCCCAAACAGGCCTTGTTCCAATTTCCCGACATCAGAGAAACGAGAGGCCCAATGAGTAGTTGAATCGGCACCGTTTTCAAAGAAATGAAAAATTGAAAACGTAAATAAATAAATCGAAAAATAAATAACGATTACATTAAACAAATAAAAAATGGTTTGTAGAGAACACATGGCTTTATGTATTGAGGTCCGCGTGGACTCATTCGACAATTGCCTTTATCAATCGCCACAAGGGAGAAACACAAGTTCTGGAATACCAATCGCTTCGTGCACTTATCGAAAGGAATTCGAAAGGTATGATGAAGAGGGTGGTTCTCGAAAAACGTTCACTCGGTTCAAGCCGATTGCACTGGTTATACAGAGTTTTAAATAACACGCATCTCAACGTGTCAAACAACTACAGCTACTTAAAAGCTTAACATATTAATAGTTCCCAGTATCGACTTTCTACTGATCTCGGCATTGGAATATGAATGTGTCGTTTTCTTGTTCAGCAATCGCGAGGTTTTTAAACAGCATACATTTACTTCCATAGGAAACCACAATGCAATACAACGCTAGCTGACGTTTCGGCAGTATCGCCTTCTTCAGAGCCTGGAAGGGCATGCTGATATACAATCTACAAGGCAATACAATACAACACTGACCGACGTTTCGGCAGAATCGCCTTCTTCAGAGCCTGGAAGGGTATGCTAATATACAATCTACTAGGCCAAACGCTTCAACAACACCTACAAAAAGACGAAAGACTCTTTGGTAATTACACGATCAACAACTTCTCGAAAAACCCACCGCTTTTACGTGACTTCCAATGAGGAAGTTTAGAACAGCTGATTATAGTCGCATGTGGTTGACGACTGCACCATCCCACATCAAAAATCGATGCGAACATACGGGATCAGGTCGCGTATGACCTCCGGGCATTCGTCCTCCTATTCATTGTAGGGTTTTCTTCCTCACTGGAAGTCACGAAAAAAGCGGTGGCTTTTTTCGAGAAGCTGTTGACCATGTAATTACCAAAGAGTTTTCCGTCTTTTTGTAAGTGTTATTGAAGCGTTTGGCCTAGTAGATTGTATATCAGCATACCCTTCCAGGCTCTGAAGAAGGCGATTCTGCCGAAACGTCGGTCAGTGTTGTATTGTATTGTGCTTCTCTGTGGAAGTAAATGTATGCTGTTTAAAAACCTCGCGATTACTGAACAGGAAAACGATATATTAACGATAATTTCACACATTTCTTAGATATTTTAGAAAAAAATTTAAAAAAAGCAAATGTTAACTTCTATAATGCCGAGATATTAAAAAACGAAAAGCGAAACGAAGGACCCGCATGGTGTGGTGGTGAACGCGTTACTCCCCGGAAAGGTGCGTTCGTTCCCCACACCGGACACCTGCGGTCCGGAGTTTTGCAAACATCTCAGCGTTATAAAAGTTATATTTCGCAATACACCCTGCTATTAAAAAGAATAGCTAATAAATAAAATGGTTAACAAATGTTAATTTGCATACGGTCCGTCCGGTCAAAAAGACATTAACGACCGCTTAAATCCACAGGATACTAAGGTCCTATGGATTACCTTGTAAAACGTACAGGTTGACTTCATAGCGATTTCAGTGCGTCAGCATCACTTTTTGGCCATCGACCGATTTCGAGTGGTATTGAACGGAAACTCTTGTGACCAGGCTCACTTTCCTCGCTTTTTGATTTACTGGTAGCTCTCAAACGCATATCTACCAAAGTCATTGTGAATTTCATAGCCCTTTTCCCTAGAAGTCGTCTCATAGTTAGTGTATGTTCAGTTATTCTTATTTTTCTCTAAATCTCACTTTTCGCTAAGTTGTATAAATACTCAGTTATCACAAGAACTAGATGGATTTCGACATCCAAAAAAGCCTGTGGCCTCTCTTTTATCCCTCTTTGAAATTTTTCGACGATTGGAATCATTTTCTGGAAGACGGAAATCGCAGAAATTCCATAACGCTAGAGTGTTATTTCTGTACCCTTATTATTCGATGTTTTAGTTGTTTTTTGATAACTATGCTTTTTATTGTAATTTTCCTACGTGGTGTTTACGTTTGATTATGACTTGTCATGTCTAAGCACCAAATGTGTATCATCGCAAGTAAAGGTTTAGAAAATTACCGAATAATGAAGTTTCACGATTTATATGGATGTCGTAATCAGCGAAAGAAAGAAACAAACACGTATACGAAAATATAAACAATGCCGAAGCATGGCATTGAACCAAAGATCATGTGTAGCCTAGGAAACCTTTAACCACTGTGCTACCCGCATTTTTCGAAAGTGAAGTACCATGTTACCGATTACATAGAACATTAACGAAAAAATGGAATAATAGTAAATGAGACGTCTAAGCAGCGCTTTGTGTTACTTGTTCAATTGAATGATTGACTTTTTTTGACAACTATGGAACTCCTCTTGTCAAGTATTTCAATTCCAACAACAGACATTCTTCTCTGCTCTGCATCTCTACGTAATCCGTCTCCGCTCTTCTCAGTTCGACTGCTTTATTACCCCCGTGTAAAGCAAGAGTGCAAGTCATTTTATCCAAAGAGGTACAAATTCCAAATGTCAGTAATTTTATTCAACTCGCGCGATATATTTTCTCCATATTCTAGACGAGAACTTCTGCCAAAACAACCAACCTCTTTCTTATCAGTGACGAACAACAAGTTGACGATATTTTAGAGAGCACTAAAATTTGGAAAATATAAAACCACAACTGAAGAGCAAGGACTTAGAGCCTCCTACAATGTGTCTTTAGCCTTGATAAAAAAAAAAGCTGTAAAATCTTCACTAAAAACGAAAGACATAGGATTTCAGAGGCGGCAGTAATAACTTTATCCTACACGCTCTTCTTTTTACTATTGCACGACCCGACACCACATATGCAACAGACCCTAACACTTCTTGAACTCGATTCACTTCCTATAGCCACCGTCCACGACGTCTTCATAGTTTTTGCGGGTTAGCTTGGCTTCTAATTGAGAATTTTGCCTTTCGTCATGAACGTCGTTAAATGCCTGTCGAATCGATTTTCCCTGGAGTCCTTAGCTTGCCGAACTACAGCATTCCCACTTGGGTTACAGTGAGTGAACTTTCCCCAGACAAGTCAGGTGCCAAATATCCAATCCAGGGAAATAGAGGTTTGGTGATTCCTTTGTGGCACTGGACAAGTGCATGGATAGATTGGTTCATCCACGTAATGAAAGAACTTTTTACCACTGCGCTACCCAAAAACATCACTATTAGCAAAATTAATTCTGACTTAACAATTCCAAACAATACAAAACAGAAAAAAAAGCAAAAAAGCCATAAGCAGGAATTCATCCAAGAAAATGGATGTGTCGATTTAGGAAATATACGTATCAAAAAGGGATGAAGCTCTCGGCGTTGATCAATCCCAGAGGGATGCTCTATGCATTCGACTTCATTAAGTATCGTTTTGAGGTGATTGAATGCATAACTGGTCTTTACAATGACTCATGGTGGCCTACCGATGTATCGAACTAGTGCTGCTATCCTCCCAGACAGGTCTGGTAGGAATTCGCTGACCCCAGAGGTATGGAAGGCTTGGTGTGTCTGCTGCGCGGGATTGATCCCATGTACATTGTGGGGCGCCTCCGACCCGCCCCTATAAATATACGTATACGTTTGAATATTGTAATGAAGAAACCCTCAAAATAATACGTTCTTGTTTTGTTTAGATAAGGAATATCATCATCTCTTAGTTTTTGCTTTCTAAAAGACAAACTTCAAATTTTTTGAAGACTTCTTTTCATGAAGAAAAAGTTCATAGCGTACTTTTCCTCTAATCTTACCTTTCTGCTGGATGTCCATCAAGTTCTCGGACATCACAAGAGCATTTTTTTGAAAAGCATGTGAAACTAAAGTGAAAGAACAGAGGTTCGAGAATCTGCCTTACAACCTACAATACGAAAGTCCGGCGAAAATTCCACGATCGCACAAGTGGAACTCGCCACGGTACAAGGGATTTAGTTCTGCATCGGCCCATTGCTTGCGACGCACGCATCATCGCTTGTCCCACTTCTGACTTCCTCCGATCAAGGATGAGGATGTTTGCCTGACCTCCGACGAACGCTTTCAAATTTTCTGACTTCTAACTTGTCTACAAACAAGTTTTGCCGTATTGTTCTGAAAACTGTAATAAATTGAAAAAATTCCTCCTTTCGACCTAAGGATTTCTGTAAGATTCAATTTGTTTTTATCTTATTTACCTTCAGTACTCTCAGCAAATTTTGAGCCTAGATCGTCATGGGATACTCTCTCTAGCTTTCACGTGATTCTCATCAAGTTGTCTTTAATTTTCTCCTTTATCGTTGTGCTATTATAGAACGCACAAAATTTCGTGTTTGGAATGTGTACTTATCGGCCTGTGTTGCTTCTGCTCTTAGTGATGGGAAAAACAGGTGAGCGCAAAAGTTCAGCCATGGGTGGGATACTCATTAGGGATTTCTCGGATAAAAAAAAAAGTTGAAAGGACAAAGCTCTCTCGTTGATTGATCTCTGTGGGATGCACCACGCATTAGACTTCATTAAGTAACGTTAGAGGTGATTGAACGCATATCTGGCCTATACAATGACTCGCTGTAGCCCAGCAATGTACCGAATCAGTGCCGTTATCCTTCCAGACCAGTCTCGTACCAATTTCCCTCCCGAGACGGGCTGGAGGGCCCGGCGACCCTAGGGCACAGAATTGATCCTATGTCTATTGCATTGCGCCTCTAACCACTGCACTACACACGCTCTTCGGCTATGCGTTAAAATATGGTAGTGTTTTGTTACTATCTTTCGTTTACCTGATATTCGGCTTGCTAAGCGATGAGTGACAGCAGAATTTTTTACGGAACCGGCATGGTTTTCGTCTCAATATGGTGCACAACCATTTGATTGAGCTCAAGACTTGGCAATATCCATTCACAATTCGTATGTTTGTGCATTCATTCCAATCAACGGGCACAAAGATCTACACTCTCCGAACTGGTATGATATAAATACGCATGAGCAGCGACTAGACCTTGGCTGCACTCGCTGTAGCCCAGCACAAATCGCCACTTTAGGAAATGTCTGGGTTGACAAATGTCGTTCCTAGAACTGTTTTGAAAATGTGCGTAGCACAATAAACGAACAATCTGCTCACACTTTATAGAGAACTAAAGCGAAGAAAGGCTCACGGCACCATTTTGGCGATATTAATCTCCGTTTTGTCAGGAAAGGAATTAATCTTCGATGCGAAATAGGAGTTAATACAAAGCTCCACCAAATAAATAGCTTCTTCTTAGTAGCGCGACATCTTTCAAAGTTTTCTTCGTTAAAAAATTAGCCCGTTGCTTTGGCCTCAATCGGCCTGTCGACCAACATTACAAAAAATGACTGCTCGAATGATTACAGAAGTAAGGAGTTTCTGACTGATACTCTTAGAGATAGATTCCTTTGACAATCTGTACCCTTATATTAAAAAGTTTGTTTGCTGGACGAAGTCTAAGTTGCGACGAATTCCTTAATCTACTAAAAGTTTCGGCAATTAGTAGAACATGGTGTTGCAATGAAAAGGTCATTTTCTTCCCTCAAAAGAAGCAGCTTAATTTTATCTAGGCACCAAAACCTCTCATATTCGCGGAATTCACCTACTGTTGAACTATAGGTACTTCTCTTCACATATTCTACAATTGTCGACATAGCGATCCACATATACCGTATCATTTCAACAAAGTTGTTGCGTCACATAATAAGAATGGTCGTATCGCCCAATGTTCGTTCGTAAGGGCTTCTAGGTGAGGGCTTATAGATGAATGGTCGTCTCATTTTCCCTATCAGTTTGGCATTGATAGCTCAATTTTATGTACATAAACTTTCGTGCACTCGTTGTGTTTTTAGAGGTTAATGAGACATATATGAATTTGGAATCTGTCGAACTATCGGCTTAAGACGGGTTTAATGAAGAAAATCGAGCAATTTCGATAGAATGTTGAACCGACTTGTTCCTCTAATAAGTCAAAAAATTTTGTCCGTTTTATGTGCATTATTACGTTGACTTCGTAAGGCCATGTTTAATTACAAAGCATGCCATTATGTGGCTGAGGTGAAGAAAGGAAAGAATGAACGGTATTTCCATACGATATTTAGAAAGAGTTCATAGACCTATGATCAATATCTTAGTGCTAGGAAATAAGATTTCCAGGTAAGACTCATACTAGGATAAGCATATATCATGCCTCGCAATACTACAGAGCCAGGATATTAGCTAAAAGCGACAAAAATACAGTACTGTAATGGTGACTGTTTCCAAGAGCTCGAGCAAATTTCCGTGTTAAAAAGTCTCTAAATCTCTCTTCCTTCTTCCAGGTTCATTCCCACTTTGCTTCACTTTTCTCACTCATGGTGAGCCTTGGTTTCTGATTAAAGGAAAAGTAGCAGGGAATTTCAGGTGTTTAACGGAAACCAGTTCTGTCTAACCGCTAACGTCATACACTAATGATCAGTTTTTAATTGATTCTATTCCAACTTGTTGTAAGAAATTCTAACCGATGTGAACTGCCAAAATTTGCAAAAGCCGACTTATAAACGCATGCTTTAAGCTGTTTTGATGTAGATGTAAGATTTTTCTTTATTTCAAGTTGCTTTCTGACTGCGCAATTCTTTTACAAAGGAGTTCTCCAAATTCGAAAGGCCACAAAGTTTTGCAGCAACGGAGGTTTCATCCACCTAAAATGTAAATTCAACCAATGTCACCCATTCGAGAAACGGTCTTTTAATAAACCTTGGCATTAAAAATTAAAAAAAGGTTAAAACTCTCGGTGTTGATCAATCCCTGAGGTAGCCATGTATTCGACTTCACTAAGCATCGTTGGAGGGTGATTGGATGCATATCTAGCCTTTACAATGACTCGCGCTGGCCTACCGATGCATCGAACCAGTGTTGCTATCCTCCCAAACAAGTCTGATAACAATTTGCCGACCTCAGAAAAATGGAGGGCTTGGTGAGCCAGGGGCGCGTGGATCGATCCCACGTGTGCATCGCAGGGCGCCTCAGACCACTGCGCCACACGCACCATTAATAATAAATTTATTTAACCCGTAAAAATTTTTCTTACTAAACTGTGAAGCGATATTCTTATCACGCGGTCACGCGGTTCGATGGCTGACGTTTGACGATTTCACCATTTTTGGAGTCGCCCCCGCGGTGAGAACACCGGTGTGGAAACGGCTCTGATGAGGACGAGATCACTGAGACGTCAGCCATCGAATTTCTGGAACGCGTCACAACAATCTCATCTCAGTTTAATAACAACAATTCGCAGGATTTGAAAAAACGCCACCAACATTGGGAAAAGCACTTCCTGGTATTCCCTATCCCTAGTGGTTCAATTTTTGTTTAGTGCCTGTCGTTTTTCTTTGCAGGGTATTATGCGGAACACATTCACAGTTATGCTGAAATAAGAGTAAAACAAATAATAAACAGTAAATAAAACTTAAGCACTGTGATTTCGACATCAGCTTCAGTTTAACTGGGTTATATGGCGATTTCTGCTTCCCAGATCATTCCCGTTGACGGGTGATTGCTGCTGGCACCATTAGGGTAAAAAAAACTGGCTGAGAGGAAGGTAGAACAAGATTCTCGGTGCTTTAGTGGGCAACACGTGTGCCCTAATAGGGGCAATCGCAAGTTCAAGTCTGGCCTGGATTTCTCTCTCCAGTTTTGCTCATATGTCAGCATCAGTGTCGTTGTACTTAATATCCACATAATGTTTGGAGAAATTGTGACGGTACGGCACTACCTTCATAACTCATAAATATCAAATCCTCACAGATTTCTTCCAATCGCAACATCTTTGCAGCCGTGTCATGCCAGCCTCCACTTCCGACAATGTTCTCCCACAACTCAGCCGTCAGCTCATTTGAACAGCAATCAAGCATAGCATCCTTGCCTCCAGGGAACGAGAGTGAGTTGACCAAGAAGTATCAAATGTCAAGAAGCAGAAGCCACATATCGCGGATAATCCTTTAAATATGTTACCGTACCATGTACAAAGAAATTTGCTGAAAAAAATCGACAATGCCGTTGGCTAATTAAAAACAAAAAGGACAAAGCTCTAGGCGTTGATCAATCCCTGAGGGATGCGCCATGCATTCGACTTCACTAAGTATCGTTGGAGGGTGATTGGATGCATATCTAGCCTTTACAATGACTCGCGCTGGCCTACCGATGCATCGAACCAGTGTTGCTATCCTCCCAAACAAGTCTGATAACAATTTGCCGACCTCAGAAAAATGGAGGGCTTGGTGAGCCAGGGGCGCGTGGATCGATCCCACGTGTGCATCGCAGGGCGCCTCCTACTACGGCGCCACACGCGCCCACTGATTAAGTGAGCAAGTTGGTTAAGCGAAAGCCCAAAGCATAATTGCTGTGAAAAGAGACAGTGGATGGGACATTTTATAGTTCCAAACTCTTCTGAAACTGTGCTCACATATAGCAAGGAGACAGCGAAAGCTTTGGTGTATGAGATTCTAGGGAGTAAAATCGCTTTTTTTTTAAACAATTTTTTAACGAGTGGTATAAATGTCGCTTCTAATCTTCGTCTTTCAGTTCTTTTAAAGATATTAATGATCTAAATCTAAGGTGAAGGCTTATTTCAGTAAATCAACAGAAAACCAGACCTATCGTGGCCAGAAGCAGAAATAACATAAGTAGTAAACAGTTGTCTGATATCTAATGAATATGGCTTTCAGTTGTACAAGATACATATGGAGTTTTCGTAGATGAGCCAAATAACGTGCTACAGCCACTTCGGTGGTCGAATTCTATCGACAGTCCCGTAGGAACGACACTGGGTAATAACTTAGCATTTACGCCTTATCCGGGATACGTTCCTCCTCCTCCTCCTCCTCCTCCTCCTCCTCCTCTACCTGTACAGAATGCCGCGAAAAAGGTGAGAAGCTGTCAGATTTCTGCTAGAAATCCGAAAATTGCAATAGAAAATGTTCATACTTGCAAAATGCAGATAACTGGAATCATGTGACCAATCTACGACAAAATCTCAGAAATTCTGACGAATTTCAGAGCCCATCTCTTGACGGTGCCATGTTGTTCGCTCCTCCGCAAGGTCTTGACAATTCTATTGTTTCTCCATCGCATTATGAAGAGCGTAAGATTCATCGTTTAGATGTTTCATACTTTCCTATTCTTTCCATTTAAGCATCCTAACCCTGCGACACCTACAACGTGTAGAAGAAGGATTCTGTTCGTTTATTTCTTCAAGCATATTGCACCAATGTGAATTCAGAACATTCCTGTCCAATGGGACTTCAAATGCCCTTCGACTTCCATTCCTGCGTCCGACGTATTGCCTTTGTTCCAAGTAGCGAGACTTCGACGACTTGCAGTTTTGAAGATGGTACCTATTGTCGGTAGGTTTATTCTAGGGCGTCTAGTCAAGCCTGAAATCTAAATCTATAGTTCACACGTGTCGTATATATATACATATATATATATATACATATATGTATTTATATGTATACATGCATACATATTTATATATATATATATATATATTTGGATATGTTATACAGATTGCTGAGAGAGAAAACGACGAATATTTGTGTAGCATTCTTAAGTGCAAATAATGACATGTCACAAGGTATGTAAAAGTGGAAATTATGTATGTTTAAAAGTGGGTTTATAGCAAGATGCATAACTTTTCAGTATAATTTCCAACGAACTGATAGTTTACCCACCCTTTTAACCCTGCTGAACTATCCTTGAGATATGAGCTCTTGCTTTACATTAGCATGACATGTAAGAACTGCTCAAGCCACGGTGACTTTAGACTATTTGAGGAGTCAAATACTAAGTGAAGAAAGGTAGAAACTCCCGAAACGCAGTCAAACCATTTATTTGACTTAATAGTTTTTGACAGCAAAGGCGCAAAGCAGTGGTAGTGATTCCGCTAGTTATGCGGACAGCCCAACCTACCCAAACGGTGCTTCGATTTCTCTCCCGACCCAGCCGACTCTTCATTGCTCTGGATCATGAAATTGGAACCAGATTTGTTTAATACATGCTCACTCTCTCCGATCATATGAGAACGCCTAGTCTAGCTGTCAAAGACTCCTGCAGGAATTGATTCGATCGGCTTTCAAGAACATTCACAAAAGACGGAAAAATCTTTAAGCAGCATCGGAGCCCATACGCAAAAAAGCTCGAAGAACTTCGTGTGAACTGAGTGTTGGGAATCGACTCCAATGCAAGGACTGCTGGAATCCACATGGTATGATACATGTGATATCGGATTATAAAATAACAAAAAAATAAAAATGCTAAGTGAATGAAAGTAAATGTATGCTGTTTAAAAACCTCGCGATTGCTGAACAAGAAAACAATGAATTTTTTCCTTCAACTGACAAAATCGAGTTATCTCTCAGTGTGCCTAACTAGGTCACTACGTCTTTTAAGCACTTCATTTTCAGATTCCAGCCGACATCCCCGTTCACCCAAATGGGCACGCTCTCTTCACCTTCATACTATGCCGCACTAGCCGAGTTATCCGGTCGATCAGCCAAAAGTCAACCGGAGAATAATTTCGTCTACGCCTTCACACCGCAGGTTTGAACACCACCGCTTTTGTATGGTGCAAAAGTGATTTAGTTTTCCGACACTCACATCGCTGTTCTAAAATAGAACTAATCCTTTGACACACCAATGCTGCACTTCTGCTGTGCTCGATGAATTCAAATGTACACTTTGCCACTGATAGTATTTTTTAAAGAAAAACTCGATATAACTTCAACGATGCTGAGATATTTGCAAAACTCCGGACCGCAGGTGCATGCGGTGGGGAACGAACACGCGCTGTGGTCCTTATCGGCGAGCAGCGCACTTCACCACCACACCATCCGGGTCCTCGTTTTGACTCGATCTCAGGTAGTTCTATCGATCCGGAGTTTTGCAAATATCTCAGCATCATTGAAGTTATATTTCACAATGTATACCCTGCCGTTAAAAAGAATAGGCAGTAAATAATACTTTAAAAAATTCGATATATTTATTTATATGATCTTATAAACTGATCAATAACATCAAAAACAACGACAACGACAACGAAGATCTATACCAACCTCGCGTCAGCTTAAGAAGATCAGTTTATAAGATCACATAAATAAATATATCAACTATCCATGCCGAGGTTTATAGAAAGTCGGTCTTTCGAGTTATTAAAAGCTCGATAGCTCTTCATTGTGCATCTGTACAATGGTGGTGCAAGGTTATCACACCACTAAACCGTTTGCAAAAATGAAATCTTTCTTTATGCAGTAATTTTAAAAAAGCATGCTTTGAGTTTGAATAAAATTTGTTTACGACTCTATCTCTCCTTGGATGGAGGGGTGGTACTTGTCAAGCCGATTCCGACTCAGGTTGAGGTCTTTCGGGGAGCACACTGTTTAGCTAACGCATCCGATTTGCGATTTGCGAATTGTGCTACTTTTCACACCATCGTACTCCGGACCAATTTGTTTAATTGAGACAGACAGAATCGTTACAATCCACAAAATTGTTGACAAGTATTCTATCGATACTTACAGAATTCCAGCACTCTATGAAGCATGCATGGCTAAGCAGCAGCGATTTTGCCATGAAAGGGCCACCATATCTATTATGACTTTATTAATATAGTAAACATGTGTTTATACTAGCTTACACAAAATTGACAAAGGTCCTCATTCTTCTAGCGTTTCGAAGTCTTCACATTCATCAGAGCCAACAATCCGAGTCGATGGTCCACAGTTGTTCCTCTTCTCGATGTAGCACCAACAACAACCGCCCCGTCTAAAAGGGCATCGACGGGTGATTATACCTCATTGAAGATGCTCCACTGAGAAAGATCCACTCGATGCGGAGAAGAAGATGTCACATCGAGAAGAGGAACAACTGCGAACCACCGATTCGGATCGTTGGCTTTGATAAATGCGAAGACGTCGCGACGTTAGTCGGATAAACATCTTTATCAACCTCGTGTAAGCTGAACAATATAAACACATGTTGATTATTTTACTACCGAGGTTAAATGACGGTCGGTCTCAAAATTTATTTGCATAAAGTTTCTACATTGGCACGACCGACTTTGTAATAACCGCGGCATTGATCAAGTGATTTTCTTCGTATTTTTGTTGAGCAAACGCGAGGTGTTATTATTCTTTGTTCACGATTAAGCTAGTGACTAGCTAATGAAGCTTAATCGTGAACAAAGAATAATAACACCTCGCGTTTGCTCAACAAAAATACGAAGAAAATCACTTTTTCTACATTGGTTTTAAAGGCATTGGTTAAGAACTGGGTACGGCGAAATCGCCTGCAGAAGTGGAAGCTGAGATGCCTACCATAGATTCTGACTTTGCTTATGAAGCATTGAATGTAGTATTCCTGATGTAGAAGCGGAAGAAACAACAGCTGGGTTCGGGAAAGACTAGAGCAAGCATCATTTGGCAAACATATGTGCCGATTCGACCACTCCTTTGAAGCACCATGACAGTGATCATGTTTTCGTCGATGTCAACTTGTTCTGTCGTTGCTCCGTAGTTAATTTTCTTGCCTTATAAATCAGTTTTTGATGTTCAGCTACACAAGCAGATTATTTTCTTCTTGCCATCTTCTACCGTTAGTGTAGCTTGAGATCCACTGGAGGGCGCAGTGGTTAGTGATGCACTCGCTGTATTCAGAAAAAAGGTGTCTATTCGACCTCACTTCGAAACGCTCTCCTTCAATTCCTTAGCTTGGCTTTTTCTAAGATTGCAAGGAGAATCGATTCGACCAGCATTCCATGACATTCATAGAAAAAAGGAGGTCTTCAAGCAACAGCCGAAGCAATGTGCGAAACGTTCTGAGACCTTTGTGGACGATGAGTGCGAGGAAGCGAATCAAATGCGAAAAATTCTGGGATCTGCACACAAGATGTTATGTGTAATGTAGATAAGTATAATAGATAAGTTTTTTGTTTAATGCTTTAATTTCAGAAAACTTCAGACGGAGAGCAGCTCATTCTTTCCGCTCCCATAATGTGCCAGAGTGGAAATGGCTTACTCAAATTCGAGTAGGTTCACTAGTTGTTCGCTTAGAATATTGCGAATTTCCAAGAATCATGTTTACTTTACATTCGCTTTAGTTATTGGGTAATAGGGGATCGATCCGCTACTATCAAGGTCTGTACACAAGACCCCGAAATCAGGTCCTGTACGAAGGTTAGTTGCTTTAACATGAACACCATGTTGTCGCCTCCCACCATGTTCGTTCAATATCAGATTTCGAGAACTTCTCTGTAATAAAAGATCCACGCAATTTATACATAGTAAATACCTACTGAATGTAACTGAAGTAGTCTTGTACATCTTACAGTATCAAAATCATAACCGGACACTTCTGCAAGATATCAGCGTTGTCTGCAAACATTCCAAGTAGCAGATTTACTTCCTTATTAAGGTTTTGAACCTCTTAAACTACTTGGGAGTATCACTTATTGCAGCAAAATTTAAATCAATTGTCCAATTTTCTCATCCTGTCTACTGCTATTCTAGACGAATTTTTCGTCGAAGAAAGAGATCCACCTGAAGAACTCTAACCATAAAATCAGTGTGTTTGACATCGGAGATGAGACTAGATCGCTAACGGCTCCTGCCAACATCGCTAAGGAGCATAACGTTTCCGATCTACCTGATTTTAGACAACTTGACGGACACAGCAACATCTCTAGTATCTGATAGTCGACATGGGCCACAACTTCGGATTCCTTCTCTTACTGACATGAATCGAGTATTTTTTACGGCATCCATGCTAAAATCTTTTCGATAATTCTGAACGACCTTTTACCATGTTTACGTAACAAGCGCTGTTCTGAGGTGACCATTAAAACAGAAGAAACCGTCAATCCGAAAAAGTCAAAATTCATTAAGCAAAAATGTTCTTTGTTCTCTTCAACAACTTCATTCTGATTGTGTAAGCTCCGAAGCCAGGATTTTCCTCCTCGTCATCTTTGTCACTCATCATATTGTGTCCTCGATCCGCATACACACACCATTCGGAGATTCGGAGATTCGGAGATACATACAAATTTTTACATAGCACTGTTGAAATCGTCCTGCATTAGTATCACGCATGATAGTATTTTTGTCAGACAATGTAAGAAAAAGTAATCACGTTTATTGATAAGGACTGGCGGCAGGTTTCTCAGATGTTAGATTCCTAATTCTACTCTGACCGTTTGCCTCTTCATCGACTAGCTGGCGTGTCAGAGCTCGGAAGAGAGAGTCACTGAGGCAACATATCCATTTTCTTTGAAACGATACAAGAGGAAGTAATGCGGCTGTTGAAGAGATCGATGTACAAATGGTAAACAGTCTTCTCCATTGCTTTTATGAATAAAAAGAATGTTCGCTTAATTCCCAAACAGCGATCACCTTTGTCAATTATTCGGTAAGGATTCGCTGTGAACTGTTTCCCATCTTCGACATTTTTGCAGAATTCAACGACTATTCTCATTTTATGCTCTTGTTTTGTCGTTTCTTTGCAGACCTTTGCAAGCATGAACACAATTCGGTGAACTCAAGTTTAATCCCACAATGTAACAGGGCAAAAATTAATCATCATCGTTGTTGATTACAACGGGTTTTTTTCAAAGGACTACTCCTGGAGTCAGCAATCGAAATATAGATCGGTTATGGGACTCAATTTCTTGACCAATCATCACGTGATATCACTATTGGAGGGATTGCTCTGTAGAATTCCTGTAAATCCATACAAGGTGTATTCGCGACAGCTCACCTTCGTCACAACTTGATGTTGAAGCGATGTAACGCTGAAAAATATCAAAGACTGTATTAATCCATATCTTTCCCAAAATAAGCCTAGGATTCAGGTCAGTTCTTCAAAGGAATCATTGTCCATGGTCAAGCATGTTTGCATGTACACCAAACCCGCCGACATCTCTTATCATGGCCTTTTCAGAGGAAATGTTTTTTCCCATATCATAAACAGCACTTGATATGCACCTTCCTCCAGCCGGTTCGGAACTGTTAGCCTAGAATAATCCAATAATCTTATCAGTTTCTCTGTACTCGTCCATCCCAGCGCTGGCCTATAAATTTTCCCTGCAGAGCCTTTCAACTGCTCCAATTTTATCCCGTACTCTATTTACTCTAAGATTATTTTTAAGTTATAAAATGAGAATGAATTTTCAAGCAGAAAAGAATTCCAAGAAGCGTAGTTCACAATAACATCTTATTTCATCTGGACTGTTTTCGAAATTCGGTGTTCTAGAAAAGTAATATGAACAAGTACAAGTAATGCTATTCTAAGGAAATTGAATTTAAGCAGCGAAAACCTGTAAAAGTCGTTCTTCAAGGATTGTCACCCTATATTCCCCGTACATGATTCTTATCACTGCATTTTGTCAAGAAATTTTCCTAACTCTTAAACTGCGTTCCAGCCGATAATCTACACAGAATCGCCAGGCGTCACCGTGGAGGTTATCCATCCAAGGTCTTCTATGTTTGAGATCGATATCGTCGCCATGAATATGAGTCAGACGACCATCGTTGTTCTCGACAATATCAACTACAATGCGGAATTTTGCGAAAACTCTCAAGAAACGGTGAGTGCTCAAGGAATAGGGTTTAATTAATTCTATTAGAACACAATGGCACTGAAGTTTAACTACAGCTCTTTCATCTTATTAATTTTGCTGAAATTGTTGAAATAAAGAACAGCCGAGCTTTGTTCCATAGCTCAAAGCTCTGAAATGGGGAAATAACATCAATTGGAAGAAGTGAGTCACTTGACAACTTCAGTGATGAACTCGGCTGTTCTTTATTTCAACAATTTCAGCAAAATTAATAAGATGAAAGAGCTGTAGTTAAACTTCAGTGCCATTGTCCATCTAGTTTTATTTCTTCTTCTACTGTTTCATCCTAAAATAAGAGAGTAGAATAAAATGCGTGATGAAGTAATAGAATCCAACTATTCCTTAACGGTTTCTTTCCTTTTCTTTTCTTTTCAAAACTAAAGACATACCTAAGTGCAAACTTCATCTCAATTCAAACTTCAGTGCTAACTGTCAAACTCCAAACAAGGCGCTTCATTTCCAAGCAAATTTGCCCAACATGAAAAACGAGTTCGACATTTCACAAGATCAAAAGAAGTTTGACATAAACAGCATAAAAAGTTGAGCGAAAGCTGTGGCACTTCAGAGTTTTCTTTCCAAAAATAGCATACAAAAACCTGTGGCGAAAATATGATGTTCTTCTCGTCAAATAAGACAAGTGGATAGTGGTGGTGTTGTGCTAGTGATGACGACGATTTTCTGTGTCATTGAAAAGGTTTTAGCGGTACCTTGGAACAAAAAGTCGACGATGAAAGCATTTTTTAAATTTTACATGACCTATCTTCAAGTCTACCGCGCGGATCCCAACACTTCCCACATTCGATTCGCTTCCTCGCATCCACCGTCCACGAAGGTCTTTCAACCTTCACGTATGGCTTTTGCTGCTTGAGGATTTTTCATTTCATCTTGAACGTCGTAGAATGCTGGTCAAGCAATTCTTCCTGGAGTCCAGAGATAGCAGGGTCGCAGCGTTCCCAGTTGGATTGCAGAAAGCAATTTTTCCCGGTCAAGTCCGGTACCATTTTTCCGACCCTGGAAGGATGAGGGGCTTGGTGGGCCCGGAGTGGAATCAAATTAGCACCATATTCTTGATGATCGACATCACTACCACTATGCTATCCGACACCTGAAAGCATTTTATGAGTTCGAATTGAGGCAACATACAGCAACCTCTTCGATATATATTTTCGCCATGATTATTCCATTTCTTTAACCGTTTAAAAGATTTTCGTGAGTGGAATATACCGATACTCAGTCCGCATTCACCATTACCGTCCACGGGGTTACTCTGCTTTTTATATAGCGGCACTCGTGATCATCCTTTCGCGAATACCTACCAAACTATGCTACGTAGTAAAAACTGTACTTGAAATGAACCATCATAACTCTGTGTGATTGATGTTCCAAAAGTTGGAGCACATCGTCCAGGCACTTTTTGGAATTGAGTATGTGAATTACTCAGCGTACTCAAAGTGTCTGCCCATGTCTCATCTGTCAACCAGTAATTTTTTCGCCGTTTTCATTAATCCTGCTGGATTTAAAAAGAATGGGGCCTCGATTATCGAGTAGAAATCAGTCTGCCCGGGGTACAATAGGTTTTTAAGTGCTTTCTACTTGTTTATCAGAAGTTCTAGCTTTTATCATCTCACCTTTAGCTTGTTAAGTATTGACTTACTCACAGGTACTTACTGAAGAGATGATGACGTTTTCGGCAGAAAAATGAAGAATCGTTAAGGTTTTCAATGGAGTAGATTTAGCATCCATTGTGATGCACTAACAAGCGCCACCAGCGTTGTGACGCCGTCATGATGTCTTTCTTTCACTATTGTAATGCCAATGTAGCAGTTGGTAAGCTATATTGTGCTATTGCAGTAGAACTTTCACGTTATCAACTACATGCCATAGCAGGAGATAGGTGGAATCCCATCCTTATGTGGATTTATTGGCAAAACGATAAATACGCTAACAACCTGAGCTCCAAAATTGTTCTCCTCTATTGAATTCATCTCATTATGCCTTCCTGTATCGTTGCAAATCCTTTTACAAGAATCTTCTGCATATCGCCTTCACTGCGAACAATGAGAGTTGTGCTTCACTTAGATTTTTCCTACTGTTCAGGTTGCGCAATAGATACGATTTCAACTTCTTCTTGAACAACTTATGCGTTTGGGCACAGATTTGAAGTCATTCAACAAGCAGTTAAACTCCTCGGTCGCAAAGGTTTTGAACAAGTCAATCGAATCTTCAGATGGACAGAACAAGAGGTTGAAAAGAATAGGGAATAGCGACACTACAGAGGTGTCATTACCTTTCTTTGAAAATGTGAAAAACTTCCGCATAAATCATTCCACTCTTCTGTGCTGTACGGCCGTTGGAAAACCAATTCCCAAGGAATAGGTAAGTTGTCCTCCCAACGGTTTACCGCCACATCATGGCTGGGAGGTATTCCTGGCTGTCCTACTGCAATGTATAGCAGAGCAGTTCGTCCCTCCACAGAGTCTCCCAAGCAGAAAAGGAATCCGGCATTTCCATCAGGAAACCTAGCTAAGAGTAAACCAATATTAAAATTCACCACCGTCCTGATATCAAACTTGTCGCACTGTGGCCAATCTCTCTCTGATCCACAACAGCGGTGACCACCTGTAGTGGTGGCGCAGACTGGTGCAGACTTTGGCCAAGCTGACCTCGGCACCTCAGGGAGCCACAGTGGTTAAACCAGCAAAGCTCCGAAAAAATGAAGATTATGTTGAGGCCCGCACAACCAGTGAGCGCGTGTCCAAGTGTCTAAGGTAAGTTGTAGATACGAACCTAGTAATATGGTTTCGATTCCTGCTTTAGTTTCCTATTCCAAATTTCTTGATCATGTATTCAGTTCCCGCTTTTCCCACTCTCTCGTTGGAGACTTCGACAAAAAAGTTATAGAAGGTATTTTCTTTGCTAATTATTTCCTCTAGCTGATAGTAAAACAATGAAGAGCTGCTACGGCCTTTCAGAATGCATGCGATCATGCCTACTTCTCGTTGAATTTACTTTATTTGACATTAAATTTGCTGCAAAAAAGAACATGTCGCCATTAGGACACATAAGGTTAGAACGAGAGTCAAAAAGTCCTTTCCAAATGGTCGCATCTATAAACGTATCAAAAAAATTCATGTCGATCAAGGTTTGTATTTCAAAAACCAACTTTCCATTAACCTTTGCTTAACCTTTAATGAATAGCCAACATGTATTCTTTCAAACTAACACCAGGTTGATAAATAACCTTATTTGGCTAATATTTCGACGTCTTCATCTTCCTCAGAGCCGTTGATCCGAGCCGATGGTCCGTAGTCGTTCATGCTCTCGATACGACGTTTTTGCCTTCACATCGAGTAGAATCGTCTGCTCTGAGGAAGCCGAAGACGTCGAAATATTAGCTGAATAACGTTATTTATCAAAACATCTATTATTTCATTTGGATCACCTACACTTGCATATGTGACGGTTTAAGCTGCTATTTCCAATAAAACAATAATTTTCATATAAGGGCTTATGACTACTATTTTCCAAGCTGATGATTAAATTTGTTTATAAGTAGCCGTAAGAAACAATTCACCTTCACTGTTTCTTTGATAAGTAAACACGACCTTCTTACTACAGCATTTATCTATTCACAATAGCCGATACTTCGGCGGTTTCACATTCTTCAAACTCTTCACTGTAGCTTCAGGACGACAAAACAAACTCGAAACAGGCTCTTGATGAAATTATTCGAGAATTTTTTGAAGAAGGCGCCGACTCAACCTCAGAAAAGGTCAATCAAAAGCAAGTATACCACAGTGATTCTGTAGCGAAACATCAAGGTATTTCCAGATGTCTTGAACATTATAAAAAGATTATTTTTGTATTTTCCATATTTAGTTACTTGGATACCTGAATGGCCCATACTCAGTTGTTGTGCCGTCCACTGCATAATTTTCATTCGTATCGCTCTCACCCAATCGTCGTTCATGGTGGTGGCCTGTTCCGAACATTGTGACGTCCGTGAGGCCTATACCGAATTCCTAAAAGCGTTTCCATCTGCCATTGAAGTTAGCTGACGTTAGCCACGAACAAGTCCACTCATCATTTGGATGGTATTCCAAGAGGACGCGTGGATTCTCTCGGAATCCACTGTTCTTTTCGTCTTTCTGTCATCTGTTCTTCTTATTATGTAATCGGCCGACCTAAGTTTCGCTATTAACGTGTACTCTCCTGGATCCCGTAGATTGATGGGTTTCGAAGATCTGAGCAGCTTATTCTGCCTCGACGTTGTGAGTGCCGGTTAAATTTCAGAAGATCCAAGAAGATCGTCCAAGCACTCAATGTGTGGTGCACAGCTGTTTTGAAATGTGAGTCCACGTCTCTGCTGCATAACAGAGCGATAGGAGGATGGTTGAATGGGAAAAGTGAACGCGCAGTTTTGGGTCCATTAGTTGATCGGTGGCTTTGTTGAGACTCCGAATACAGCTCATGCTTCACTCCTTCTTTTGTCTAATTCCTTCCTCATGTTGTTCCCCATGTTCAAGCTACACTTACGAGGTGGTCTCTGTAATCAGAGAACCATCCAGTTAGATTTGCTCGCCCTCGCACCATGTGGCCCTCATCAAATGGGTCCTCGTTCTACTCATGTGCCATCCAGTCTTTTTCCCGCTTCATTGAGTTCATTGAGCATCATCTCCGCTTCAATGGTACTCCTCAAAAAAAATTACGATGCCTTTCGCGAAATGAAGATTTGATAGAAATTTCTTTTAATATGCATGCCTTTCTCTCCCCAATCGACTTCGTTATCCATTGCAGTGTAGCAATGAACGAACTTCGTCACATTTTGTCACCTTGTCGAACCCCTTTTCCCATGGGTATGGTGAGGGATCGATGAAAAAGCTGTATCTTTCCGCTGCAGTTCTGATAGCAGTAAACCAGTGTTTGTATATAGGACAAGTCCACTCTTTGGTTGACGAACGCTGATTGGATCGAATTAATTTCGACGCTGTCAAACGCGC